ATGATTGAAAAGTTGCTAATTTATAATCTGCGAACTGCACTCTGAGGTTAATCATATTGATTTGTTTCTATTTCTATGTTCGCTATACAAATACCATCCATTGTTTTCTGATTTTTCAATTTATTTATCATTATTTGAATATCTTATTTTTGTCCAAATTAAAACTTGGTATTCAGTAATAAAAAATTGAATATGTTTAAATTTTGATTTTCTGTTTTCTCTAGTTATTCTTATTTAGATAAGTGCGACCTTTTTTAAAATTTTTAACTCGCAAAAATACAAACTTTATATTCATTTTCTTAGCAGTAAAAAGTATATAATATATACAAAGTAATTTTTTTATTGTTCTAAAAGGTGATAACCCTCTTATTTTTTAAAATTTAGCCCCTTGGTCCTCCACAAACTTACTTTTTTTTTAGTATCTTAAATATCATTGTAATAACCGCTTAATATAGCGTATACAACAAAATAACCATAATTATAGTATCATCCAAATTATATTCAAATATATTATATGTTTATTACAGTTATATTACTTTATATATTAACAATTGATTTTTTTTTTTCAGGAAGATACTAATATTGAAAAAGAGGGTAACTATAAACTAATTATTAATACAAAAAAAATTCTATTTGTATTGTTTTGCTGTAAACTTAGAATGAGCACCATTTAATATGTGAAAGTTCTTAGTTTTCTTATTGTTAGAAGTATCAAATAACATATTATTATGTTAATGATTTATGAATTTGACATTTTATCCTATAATTCTTGCTGGATGAAACTGAAAGACTGAATTAAACCATTGATTTATCATATGTTTGATTTAATTTACAACTGAAAAAAATAAGCAGAAAGCTAGTTTAAAACTTAAGTTTTAATCAGCTATTTTGTACACCTATTTAATGTATATTAGTAGAAAAGACTATTATTTAGGTTAAAATATAGATATATTATTAAAAGTATGTCATACAGTAATTATAGAATGTATTATTATAACATCTAGTTACATATTGATATCTTGGTTATTGATTTTTAAGTTTGAAATGATTCAAATTCTTTTTTGATACCAATTTGTATCCATTTAATTATTTAATTTAAGGATAAATTTTAGAAAACAGGTTCCTTATAAATATGATATATACTTATTATAATATTGGTCGAGGGCAATCTGATTATCTACTTAGATATCAGTGTTTTAATTCAATGAATAATTTTATACATTTACTGACAGCTTTTTTATATTTATGGATGGATTAGATATTTTATTAATTTATTTGGAAATGAAAGAAGACAATAAAAAGATTTTATTCAATGAAAATACACTTTATCACTTTGCACCAAACATTTTTTCATACAGAAATGTTCTTGAAGCACAGGAAATCTTTGATTTTGTAAGAAAAATCACAATAACTGAAAATGCAGTATTGAACCATTAGAAATGTAAATCTTTCATTATGTGAAAGATAGCAGACTTACAATATTATGTCAAATACAATGAAGTGTCTGCTAGAAACATTTGGTCTGTCGTCGTCCCTATTAACAATCTATTTTCAATAAGAAATATTTATTGTTCAATATCAATATTCGTGAGCATCAATCAGTTGAACAAAAAAAGATAAACATTGATTATACTAAGCGAATACCAATGTAAAATTAAAATGCATCAAACTTAAACATATTGTTCCAGTTTAATAAATATAACTGGAATAGTACTCTAATTCCAAAGTCTAGAAGCATATATCAACCAAAAAAAATGAAATTTTCATCCAATTGTGGTTGGACAAACATAAATCTATGTCTACTTGTCTCAAAAGTTTGAAATTTAACACAATGCAGATATCTGTGAATGAATAAGTAACAAAAAGGAAGAAATTATAGCTTAACTGCTACTAAAAATACTGTTATTTTAAATTCCCTTAAAACCCCATATTATATTGACCCAAAATTTCAGATTAAGTAATGAATAGTAAAGCATAACTGTAAAGATGTTCAAGAATTAAAGTAGTTTATCAAACTATGTTGCTGTGGTCAATAAAAGAAGATAATTAATGCTAAATATATAATTTTGATAAAGTATTTAAAATTAATACCATTTCAAAAGTTTGTGCCCAATTTACACAGATGGCTTACTAAAGCTGAAGAATTGAAAATAAATATAGAATTGTTTATATCATTCCTTTATTTGWTTTAAGTGCATCTAAAGATTAAATATAATATTGTATTATACACATGTACTTCAATTTTTTGAACATACAAACCTTATTAGTAAAATACCTATAAACAATTATTATAAGTTTCTATTCATAATAATAAGAAGTTGGATTTTTGTGTCCAGAAATATTGTATGGTTGTTGCAATATAAATTATTATGAACTTGGCATTTCTAAGTATATAATATTTTATGGAAATATGTATTTTTTAAATGAATAAAATGTGAAAATTATATTAGCAAAATAAAAAATGTTGGTTCCAAGAAGTTTTTCAAGACCATATATTATATTTGTAGTACCTATGCATTTGTAAGTGTAGAGAGACCTCTTGGTTTTTTATAAGCAATTTTATATATATACAAATATAAAACTGTTGATGCATATATTATATTATAAATAAACAAAAGAAAAAAAAATTGCAGAAAAAATTCATTCATTCCGATGTTCAAGATACTTTTATTCTGTCATGCTAACCAAATGACTATCCTTATCATTCATGAATAATGAATTTAAAAATAATCAATCAGACAACTTATGATTTATTTTTGAATGGTATTTTTATTATCATTTATTAATTTCTATTTAGTAATCATATTATGTTACTTAATATTATATTTATTGAAATTTAGGAACTAACGATTTCCTACGATTATTGAAGTTTGATTCTATTGCTATTAATCGTTATATTTTAACGTTATACGTTTTATTACATACTATGTTCATGTTAAGCTTTCCCCTAATAAATCAAAGTGTTCTTGATTAATAGGTATTCATAATAATAATAATTAATTTTAGGCAGACCAAATTGTACAGAAAATGTAAGATTGATTTTTAGAATTTTCTTAATATAATATTCATTTTAAATAAATGTTTTTATTTTATGTATATTAGTTGCACAATTAATCAAACTACTAACCTTTAATATTTTTGTATTATTGTTTTTATAATTTAAATTTGTTATTTTTAATTTAAATATAGGTTAATACTTAATCTGTTTATTATCTATACCACAGATATATTGCGTACATTTATAGATAATTTGTGTTTATGTATATTTAATTTGTGTGACGCAATATAGACGAAGTGATCGAGAACCATACCAAAGAAGAAACATTGATGAAACCGCATGAATCTCGCCATCCAGTTACTGCTAGTAGCAGTAGAGCAACAACTGGATTAGTCAAAAGCCGTCGCAGTGCAACTGAGAAGCGATCATCTGTTGGGGATAAACCACGGAGTACCCATAAAGAGGAAAAGGACATCAGCAATGCAAAACCCATCATCAGTGTCAGTGTGCCCAAAGATGAGAAGRAAGAAGAGGAGAAACAAGTTAAAGATAAAGTGGAAGCTGGCAATAAGCAGAGGTTTGTTTTGAACACAGTCTCGACAACTTGATTCTTAATCCCTTCAGCAGAAAATCGCGCCAAGAACTGATATATTTGAACTACCAAATAATAATTACTAAAAAAAAACATATTATTATATCTTTTTTAGAACAACCAAGCCTGGAAAAATACCCCATTTAAAGTTGCAGCGACTGTAAACTCATAATGTTTTATTTATATGGATAAATTTAATTAGAATACACAAAATTACGTACAAAATATGTTAATAGATATAATCTATCACTAAAACCTGTTTTTAATAGAGGTGGGTTAGGTTTTTTTTTTTAAATTGCAGTTGCATATATGTGTGGTGATTATTAACTGGATGTATTTTAGATAAAAATGATTAATGTAGTAGTCGGCATGTAGCTTTCGCTTTTCTAATGGAATACCATTCATATTAATTTTACAAATAATATAACAATCGTAAGTATTGTGTAATCAATTTAGTATTTTTTAGAATTATTAATTCTTCAATTTTTATCATATTTGTACGTTTTTATGAATTCAGCTAAAATGTTTATTTTTAATGAGATACAAAAGATGACTAGATTTATTGAATATTAATCGACAAATTGAGAATATAGAGAAATTAAATAATCACATTTTTAAAAATAATTTCTAGAATATTCTAAATTTGGTTACTTTCTTTAAATTCTCAATTTTTGCTTCCTTAAGTAGGTATACAGTTTTTAAAAAACATTTATTGAATTTAGTTATGTTAAAGTTCAATTTCAACTAGAAATATATTAATAGACATGTTGATTCTAATATCAAACCAATTTCATTATTGTATTTGTAAATGTGATAAGTTTCAACGAAAGTTTATTATCTACAATCCCGAATCAGTATTACTACTATTTGTTATATTTTAATTTTCATCTCTAGAACTAAATTTGTTTGAATGCAGTATTGTAGTATCTGCAGTTATTTAAGTTTTGACTTTACATTTTTCTAAAGATTAGAATTTGTATATCAGACATATATATTCCAATAATTAAAGTATTTTCATATACTTTTAATTTAAACATTAAAAATGCATGTAAATTCTCTATAAGACATTAAGCTAAACAAAAACAAAAACTATTTTGATTACTTAATACCTACTTTGTTCAATTATCAAACTCTTCCCACCTTATATAAGTTCAAGTATTGAAATTTTACATATTATTTTTAAGAGTATTATCCAGACGATTTATTTGAATGATATATACATACAACTAATATGAACATTATAATATTTGTACTAAACTTATTAGAAGATGGGAATTAAATTAAAAATTACACTGCAAATGACAGAATTGTGTTTACAAGTCAATAAGTATAAAGTCACTTGAAAATTACCGAGTTATTGTCTATTATTTTTTAGTTGAACTTTCTAGTTATGAATGTGAATGGATGTTGGATGGTAAAAATGACTGTACATATATGTTTGTACATATTTATGCATTGCATATTATCTGAAAATAAAAGTAAAACTGCATTAGTATATGGCAATTATAAGTTTATGTTCCCAATTCTTGTGTTGAAATGAAAAATGTTAATAGAATAAAGATGAAAATTTCAAAAATGTGGATGGTCATTTACTGAAGTCAAGATTGACAAATACAAACTAAGATATCAAAATGATAAATAAAGAGATTTATAACCAAGCAAATTATTTGTTTTGCTTAAGTCAATCATTAGAAAAAAGTAATTTCATAATCATACTTGAAATCTACTATAACAGAATACCATACAGACAAGTTATGAATGTTGTTGACATATAATACTGATATTGTATTTGTAATACTTACTATTTGTATTATAATATGCAATTATAGTCAGTGCAATTTCAAGATTATATTGATTATAGAAATAATTGCAAATTAAATATATATATTGTACAGAAGTACATACAAATTTGCATAAAACAAAACATTTTTAAATGATAGTAAAGTTGAAATCATTCTATGACAAATTAAAAAATATAAATTTGTCTTTTACTGTGATGATAATTAAGTCTTTAATATTCAATAACTTTTTCACCAAGAAGAAATTACAATATAAATATGTGTAGTTGAAGTACACATTAATTGTATGTATTGTATCAAGAAACAAATTAAATTATGTTAATATAATAATAATTCTCTCAAAAAAATTTTTCAAGTGACTTTGGTGGTGTTGATTACTTTCACATAGCACTAAATATAATTATTGTGATTAGTTTTTTCAACACAATTAAATATTGTAACAATAAATTTGTATATTATGAAGATAATTAGAAGTTTGAATCCAACCCGACTTCATATAAAATATTATAAATATAAGGTACTTAATAAATATGTTGTTGGTAAATTAGTTGGCATAATATTTTAATAATATTTTTTTTTTATTTAAGTCAAGACATGGGAACAAGTATAATTTTAATTTTTTGTTTATATACTTAATTGTATATTAATAAAATTATAAAAATATTTTATGTAAGCTAAGATCTATAAAACTAATTGTAATTTCAATATTTTCAGTAATGATTCAAAAGTTCTGCAAATATCAAGTGACACATGTAAGTGAATTAATATTTTTAATTTGAGATTTTGAGCGATTTTACAGTTATGTTTTTTTTCTCAGTTAATTTTATTTTATTATTGTCCATATTATAAACATACAATCACACAAATCTACGTCCAGTTGAACCAATTTCTAGATATTATACTATTAGACTGAATTAACAAATCAATAAAATCGATTATTAAATCTAAAAGTAAGAATATATTTGGGCAAATTTTCGGCTTTCTTCATATTTTAATTTTGAAATGAATTATATGTAATAACTGAAATATTTCAACTTAAAAAAACTTCAAAACTCACTTTAAAATTTAAGTAAAAATAAAAGCCTACAATATGTCATATATAATATTTTTAACTTAAAATTTAAAAGTAAGTTATAACTTATAACACTTGCCTTTCAATATAAGTTTAAAAAAAATTGAATTCTTCTGAATACAAATTTATATGTTTGTAAGATTGAAACACTGTGCGGGTGTAACAATCGAACATCTTTATATACTTTTATTGGTAAAAAGTATATATTAGTTATAGTTGAGTCTTGTTAAATCAAATTTCAATGGAGGTAAAAATTAATTTGACTTTGTATTTTCAAATTACCTATTCACATTTTTTTAAAAACTCAAAATAATTTGAGTTACATATTATTATGTATTTAATTAATTTACTAATTAATAGTGGCTTAAATTTATCTGTGCTGGTCATATTTGATCCTAAAATAATTGTAACATTTTCTTTACCGTTTTTTTCCTCCTAAACAATTGTCTACTTTTAAAACAAATGTTTGATTCTATTCTAATGATAACATTTAAGATATGAGTTATTTATGCTCAACTATTTTTACATTTGACTTATCGCGATGTATAGTTTTATTGAGACGAAAAAAAAATGTTAAGTTATCGAGAGTACTGTATTAAAAATAGATTTAAAAAAAGAAAAATCCAACAAATCCCGCAAAAATATTGTATTATCCTAGTTATGCTAAGATTCTATTTTAAAATGATATATTTACTATTATTTTTAAAGTTTAAAAACTGTTTAAACCCTTAAATGTCTCACAATATTCCTACTAGGTATATTGCCTTTATTTCAATTTTCAATTTATGTTTTAGCAAAGAAAAATAATTCATCCTTGGTACGCAACATTTGGGTGAGTGGTTTGGCATCAATTACTAAGGCGACTGACTTAAAACAGCTTTTTTCAAAATATGGAAAGGTAATACTTCTAATATTTAAAAATAACTATATATTGTATTGTATTTCCTAATTATTATTAAAAATATTTAAATAGATCTAAAAATACATATTTTATTTATAAAAATGGTTTCAACACATATACTATACATTTAATACCTGTGAAATTAATCATTTTGATATTGATATATTTACATTTATATTTTCGCTATATCAATAACATTAATTGTTTTCTGATTAATGCTCTACTAAATAAAAAGTTTGTGACCAAATATTACTCCCTAGATAACTATTACTTAATCATCCATCTGTTAGTTACTCAAAAATGTATTATTTAATTAAAAATAATTAAGTTTTGATAGCATTTCATGCACTATTAATATATGTATGTTTTATGATAAATATATTTTGTATCTTTATATAAATTATATATTGTAATAATATAAAAAAAAATTATGTGATTTATTTTTCTGATAACTATTTGTAAATTATTATGTGTAATATTTATTATATTAATAGGTTGTTGGCGCTAAAGTTGTGACAAATGCCAAAACTCCAGGTGCTCGTTGTTATGGGTTTGTTACATTATCTTCAGCAGAAGATGCTAATCGTAGTATTGAAAATTTACATAAAACTGAACTTCATGGTCGCGTTATTAGTGTTGAACGAGTTCGTATTCATTTATTTTTGTAATTCCATAATGCAGATTTTTATGAATATTATGTTATCAATAGGCTAAACGTGATAATGGCTATCAAGTAACAGCAAAAAGTTCTAACGCTTCCAAAGCTAATGAAAATGTAGAAGCTGGACAAAATACAAAAAAACCTGAAGAAAAAAAAGATAAACGAGAAGAAAAAAGAGAAAAGAGACCAGAAATTACAATTAATGATGTTAAAAAACCAGACATAAGTCCCTTAAAGCGATCATGTTGGTATTTATAGTTTTTAGTTTCACGATTTTGTGTCCTAATCTATATAATGTTTTTACAAATTGTTTGTAGTATCAAAAGACCAAAACCAAGAATCAAAACGTTCTAAAATTGTAATCGAAAGAGATGATCGAAGAAAAKACAGAAGCATCAAAAGTAAAAGTAATGAACGTGACCGAGAAAAGCTAAGAGAATTAGAACGAGAAAGAGAACGCTTAGAAAGAGAAAAAAGAAGGCAGCAGGAAATTTTAAACTTGACAAAAATTAGAGTAAGTTTAAATTTAATTTGTTAACAACTATTATTGTATTATTTATATGCCAAGTTATGAATAAAACTTTTATTATTATTATTTTTTTTTTTTTAGACTGAACGCGAAAGACTCAAACAAAAAGAACAAGAGAGAGCAATGAGAGAAGAAGAGCGTAAGAGACGTATTGAAAAAGAACGCCAATTAGAAATTGAAAGAAAACAAAAAGAAGAAGCAATACGCCTCGAAAAGTTGGCATTTCGAATACTAATTCTGAATTGTAATACTCACAATATTAATATTCATTTATTTATTTAGAGAAAGACAGAAACTTCGAATTGAGCGTGAACGAATTGAAAAAGAAAAGGCTGAACTTTTGCGTTTGGAGCGTGAAAATCAACGTTTAGAACGTGAAAGATTACAAAGAGAAAAGGAAGAGTTACGTAGAGCACAAGAAAAATTAGAAGAAACAAAGCGCCAGGCATTACTAAAACGTGCTATGCCCCCATCTCCACCACTTCCTAGTAAAAGACATTCTTCATCAAATTCATCTCGATATGAAGAAAGGTACTAATACATTGTAGTAATATATATATATATAAGATAAGATAAGGTGTACGACTGTAGGCTATCGGTATATCGTTGGGTTTTCCTCGTACCTTATACTTATAGTCGGCTCCAGCCTTCTGTCTTTTGTCAACTAGTGTAATAGTAGTGTTCATACAGTAGGTGTGAGCTATATAGTGTACCATTAAGTGACAACATTACTTAATGTTATAACCGAATAGTGTTTTTTTCTTAATTATATAAAAATACGTTAGACCATTCAGTTTAAGTCTTTTTCTTTTCTTATTAATCAACCCCATCCTTCAACATATTATTTAAATGTATATGTAATTTTCTTTCATGGTTATCAATTATTCACTTTTGTCTCTTTTCCATCTGGTTTTCTTATAGAAAAGAACCAATTCGTAGTTCTCGTATCCAGCCTAGTACAGACTATATGAATCAAGCTCCTCCACCTCCTAACATAACATCATCTAGACATCGCTATGAACAGCATTCATCAGAGTCTCGCCGTATGAGGCCATCACCACCCCCTCCTCCGCCACCTGCTTCAAGACCTAAAGACTCTACTGTGAATATCAGGTAATATTTGCATACTATTGTAGAGTTACTGAAGAAAATATAATTTATTCAAAATTCTTATTTTCATTACTGYAATAAGTAATGATTACAGTTCATAAGAATTTTGTAAAGTAAGATTCAGCCATTTGACAGCTAGATATTTTAATAATAATTATCTGAGTTTGTACAGGCAATGATACAGTTTTTAACAAATCTTAATGTTTTTTATTTTATTTATTTTATTAAATCAAAGTTCTTTTGTATAATTATAATTTATGTAATGTTTATAGTATTTTTGAACTTTGTACAATAAAATTCGACTATTGACAGCTAAACAATTATTTTGATATTCGTTTATGTTTGTACTGGTTTAAGAAACAACTGGTATTTTTAAGTTAAAAATTAAAAGATTTGTATTTTTTCTTTGTAAATGTAACGATTGTTATTAAATGTTTTAAACTGTTTGTAGATATGGTGGTGCACCATCAGCAACAGATCATCATTACAGAAATCGTGATGACCGATCAGATCGAAGAGAAGAATCTCGGAAGAAAGATTCAAGCAGTGGTGGTAGTAACAGACATACTCATGCACCATATGATTCAAACAAAAGTTGTAAGTCTTAAGGTCAATTAATAGTTGCTTATTTATTTTTTATATCACAATTACACTTTATGTTAGCCTATGGAATGTCCCGCAACAGCGAAAGTAATACTTGGTCATCAGCCCCGGTAAAAAGTTCTTATGGCACTCTTAGTTCAAGCTCTGGAACTAATAATATGGTATTAAGTTCAAGACCAGATCCTTGGTCAAATAGTAATAATAGTCGAGAAATTGAAACAACTGTGTGGCAACGTCCTCCTCAACCACCACCGGATAAGTATGTTATATACATTTCTAAAATATTTGTATTAGTTATTTATATAAAACAATATATTACTTGTCTTAGCAGATGGAATAGTACTTCAAGTAATCCTTCATCTATGTCAATAAGTGGACGTAGTTCAAGTAGTAACACTCTGTATGGAAATAACCATCAAGTTATACCAAATATGGGATTAAACATGTCAACAAACTATAGTGATAGTAGATTTGACAGTTACAAAATGAGTGGCATGTCCCGAAAATATTAGAGAAATTTCAGCCAACAAATTTTTAGCATTTAATCATTACACAACACATAGTGTTTATTTTGCTAATTTTGTATATATTTTAATATTTAACTATAATTTATAATATACACTTTAGGATATTGGTTTTATATTTATTATTTTAACTGAATTCTTGAATTAATAAATATGTATTTATGATATATGTTGTAGTTTGTGGATTATAAAATTGCATCCATCAAATATGATTTTATTTATATGCATTTTTAAATTAGTTTATTTATTAAATTTATGTAGAATATATAAATTATCTTAATATTTCAGTTTTTACTCATTGAAAAAATGTTTGTAATTAATGACTTCTTATTTTTGAACCTTAAGATAAATAAATTACTTCTATTTTGTAAATAATATTATGTCAATATTTTAATTAGAGTAAATAACACTAAGAATACGTTGATTTTATAATAAAGTTATAACTTTACACATGTGGCAGTTGTTTTATAAACATTCTTTTTTTCTAAAAATCTTGGTCTAAAAAAATGCATCATTGTGTATAAAAATTTTCCAACTGAAATAATATACTTAATTGATTTTTAATATCAACATTTTTAGCCCTTTGAATTTCACAATATAAAAATTCAACTGTAAACTCAACATTGCTTTACTTATAGAAATTTACTTAAAGCTTATGAAATATGAGGGAGAGGCTATCCACTTGCTATTGATTAAGATTTATGGATTAAAATATAATAATAAAGTATTATAAATTAAATGTTTCAATCATAAATGATATGAAGTCCACCCATCTTTTTTTTTATGCTAAAATGTCTAGTGTTTCTCCTAGATTCAATTCCATGTCTCAATCAATGTGCTGACAACATTGTTAGTCCATTCAAGCGTTCCTATTAATTTATTATAAATTCATAAAAATTATTAATAATTTAAAGTATTACCTTTCCTACATCTCTAGGTATAGATAGCGTAAGCTAGGGGTACCTTAATGTAATAAAAAAAAAAAAGTAATAATTTAATTTGGATTACTAGGTATGTGTTTTGAATTGTTTTCGTAATCTTGATACGCCCTACATGTTGCTGATTTTAAAACATACTCATTTAGAATATTAAAAGATTTTAATTTTAAAAGTTATGGTAAATTTTTCATTTTAGGATTGTCGAAGCATTTTTTTAAATTTGATATTTTGATTCTTACATGCTATAACATGATTTTTATATAAATTTAAAAAAAATTATAACTGTGGACCAGAAAAATAAAATTTATACCTAACTAATCTAAACCTTTCAAAAAAAAATTGTAATATATACAATAAAAATAATAGTTTTTCCAGGATAAGAAGTTCAAAATGATCAGTTCTGCCGGACTTCTGCTGGTAAAACTTACAGTCCTCAAAAGTTTATATTATCATTTTATTATATCTAATTTATATAAGAATTTATACCAAAATTATTAAAACAAAAAAAATAGGGCAATAAAATCCCAGCCCTTATGTATTTAAAAAAAAATTATTATTATTAACAATACCTATTAACTGTTATAATAACTTTTCTATTTACATATATTGTAATCTAGTTACTAGATTTTTATATAAATGTGATGATATGTATTTTGAATAATATTATTTACCTATCGAATATTGTATTATTGGTACCTAGTTAGTTTTCGTCAAAATTATTTCATGCAATTATTTTTTCTACTACAAATGTATAGCTCTATATTAAGGTTGATGATATTGAACTTGGATAGGTGCAGTTATTGCCTTATTGGCGTTTTAAATCGGTATACCCAAAAAAATGTGAACGCTAGTCTAGCCCCACTATAGCAATTCCATAGGATATTGTCACTTGTCAGGGACTCAATAAGTTGATCTAAATCATCCTATAATTGTCATGAACTCATGACAAATAGTTTCTATTTCATCATGATTTGTGCGATTAGAGTTGACTAGGGTTATCTGGTTATAACTCATAGTTCATACTTATTAAAAAATAAACAAAGATATTAAATATTGTGCATCATATTGTTTGAATATAATTATTGGTAGAGGTACCTATGAACCTATGTACTATGATACATTGATACTATTATATGCATATTATATAACGTGTCTATATACGTTTAAACTTTAAACTGTAGTCTGTATATAGTTACATATTACACATAGAATAGACAGATATTTAATTCTAGATTATTCTAGCTATCACAGTTTTGAAATTGATGGTGATAAATCATTCCTCCACGATAGCAATGACTTCAATTTCCACAAGTGCGTCCTGCAAAAAATATGTTTAAATTCTTAATAAGTGCTAACGTTTTGAATGTAAAATATGGTAATGTAGTTTCTCACCAGTGGTAATTTAGCCACTTGATAAGTAGATCTGGCCGGATATGGTTCTTTTACAACTGTAAATAAATCAATCGTACAGGCAACATTATTATCATTAATATTATCCAAAATATTGATTATTATTTATTGCTAGGAGCAATAAATTAGAAAACTATGATAGCTATATTAAACCATGTCATTTAAAACAAGTTTGTTTATTTCTTTTTTTTCGTTCATATGTGGGGACATCTCCCCCCTGAATAGCTGCTGGCCTACAGATTAGTTTATACTATAAACTTTATAGGTCTACGATATAAACCATTAGTCATTCATAATTCATTACATTTAACTACTTAGGTATCTATCTATGTATACTATACATATATAATGACTTGTCCTGGTTTCTGGGTGATTCACCATCGCCTCTTCGGAACCACTGAAGCTATGAGTTTGAAATTTAATCAGTAAGTGTATTGTGCATTTTAAGATGCGAAAAATCCCCAAGAAAGGATTTTTCAAAATTCAACTCCTACAGGGTTTAAAAACTATAAAAATGTTATATAATATCAAGAAGAAAAATTGCCCATATTATATTGTATACTGTTTAATTTCTGGAGCTACTTAACCGATTAAAATTGTTTTTACCTTCAAAAAGCTACACTATCTCATTATTCTATACGTAATCTATACTCAATAGGCTATATTTTATCTTGATATGTGGACCTTAATTTTTTTTATTGCAAATTTGAGATTTTTATAAAAATAATAAATATAAATATATTTTTTTTATTATTGCTAATATTATTTATACAATTTAGTAAGGATGAGTAACAAAAAAGCAATTTGTTATTAGGTACCACTTAGTAAAAATTGTTTCACCTTTACAACGCTAAAAATGCGAGAAGATATTATCTGATTGAATATAATTTTAGTACTGTATTAAAGTATTTTATATGACCGTGTTAAAAATCTTTAATAGGAATTAAGATTGGGTAAATCCACGGGAATTTGTCACGAGAAGTTTTGAGCATGACTAGCTGCGTATAAAATGACGAATTATACTCGCATTTTGAATCATATAGAGTAGACATTTACATTGAGTACGGTATTTGGTTGGTATTTACGGATAACTCGTGGATTGTAGTTAACGAATCATCTAATTACCTATATCAGGCTCATCGGTCATAGTTGGAAAGAAATTATCATTATTGCCCGTAATACACTTCTGCAGTGTGGACTAATTTATAGAATGTTAAATTAAATGTTTTAGGCGCCTACATTGTGTGGAAGGAGGAAGAAGGAAGGGTGAAGGAGATAAAAGAAAATCCCTAATAAAAATGTATCATCAGTTATCAGAGTACATAATACATCTATTAATTATTATAGTATATAGTTGTTACTGTTGTTAGTCCCAGTTTCTCACGTTTTTGATTCTTTACAATTTCACCAATATCTAAAGTGAAAATTAGTCATCAAAAATTTATCTTTACCATGATTAAAAATAATATTAATGTTTGAAAATGTAAAAAATTTTCATAATTCGCTTAGGTAACATTTCAAATATTTAAAAAAAACAAATATAAAAAACACAGATAATGTTCTTGTCTATAAGTTTTATTAGGAATATTTCAATTCACTAATTTCAAAATTAACAGCACACTATTGAAATTAATGAAATTGGTGAACATTTGGTATTACGTATGTGTGGAGACAACATACATCACACGTGTGCATAATAAATGTTCTCTTAAAAATATCTGATCACATTTTTTTATAATTAGCATGTTTAATGTTTATGTAATTTTTTATAATCACGAAAATATTATGTACATAATTTTGTTGTAAAAAATTCGTACAATTTCAATGACGTATTGAAGTGTTAGATTCGAACAGTCGAACAGATGACGTTGGAAAGGTTCTACTTTACAACAGAGCGAGTTCCCCGGCTTAATTTTTTTATTTATTCCGTGTTTATTGTAAACGGTTTGAAATCCGGATTATGATTACCGATTGGTTTTGAGTTGGTGTACAAAAACTAAACTAGTAAAGTATCTTGTCGCCATTATATATCAATTTAATAACAATATATACTATCTACGATCGTATTTATATTTATACATCCGATACCTATCGTATACACCTATTCACCTATTTTTATAGGTGGAAAACTGGAATTGGAAAGTAAAACGGGCTCGGTGATGAGGAATGACGACCGACGGCAATAATTATTACGAGCGGTTACGGCGTTTCATCAAATAGGGCAACCGCGTACCAGGACCCCATAAATGCTGACCGGTCGTATGTTACATTGCGTATTTTATTCGAATTTACAGCGGGCCAAGAGCGAGAAAGTGTCACACCGAGACCATGGGCCCCTTGTACCGTGATCGACGGCTGAGAACGAAAATGCATCCGGGTCGCAATGACTGACAATATGACCGCGGCTGTTGATGTCACATCGCGTCGTCGTGCTCTCAACGCGCTAAAAAATCATTGGTTTTTTTTTTTTT